TACTGATTTATTTTCAATTCATTGCAAAAACTGTAAAACACCCACGCCCAGCAAAAGAAATTTCCTGAACATTATTTATGTACTAGAAATGAAATTAAGAATAATAATAACAATGCTAGGGGAGGATATGGAGCTAAATGATACACTGCATAAATCTTTGTTCTACAATATCTCTTGAACAATAATAGTTACTGCTTTTAACTTTTCACCATAAGTAGCTCTAGGGGACAGTATAAAAATACAAAGGTTAGATTATATATGCTTTAAAACTTTCGCCTTAATTGTACGCTAAGTATTTTTTGGGCCCATCTTATTTATAAATACTTTTACTCCTAAATTTATAAACTTTTCAATTTTTTTTTTATTATAATGAAACCAGTATAAGTGGTTACACTTAATTTGTGTACGCTACACACAAATCTGATTGTGATTTTACAATATTCATCGTTCTTTTCCATTCAGAGATAATTTAACCCTTTAACGCCCCTCTGGGACATATACATATATATCCCACATACAAAAAGTTCAATATCTGTAAATAAAATTAATATTTTTCATTCAAATTTGAAGCATTTTCATCAGCAGAGAAAGGGCTTCAAGAATATGTACATATTACATTAGATTTTTAAAAAGTCTTCTGCCATATTGAATCCGGCCATTTTGAATTTTGAAAAAGTAATATCAGATTAGTAATCAGTGACCCAAAAATACTAGTTCCATGCTAATTCATTGTATTAAGAATTTTAGAATAATTTATTCGTAATATATTGGATCCGACATTCTGAATTTTAAAAACTGACCTCAAATTCGTAACAGCGCCCCTAAAAACCTATATAAGGGATCATTTATACACCTCGTGGATATTTTTGGGGAAAAGCGCGTTTATCCTACTTTCAAATTTTGCACCACTGTTTTATTTATAATTTTAAAAAGAGATTTTATCAAAAAAATTATTTTTAATAGTACCAGGCCTCGAATATTATGACTTTTTCAACTATTTTCAAATAATGACACTTTTTTCAACTTACTTCTAAAAACTGCGGCTTTTTCAACTATTCTTTCAAATATTGCAACAAAATACCACATTTTTTTAGTATAAAATGCAACTTATTTCGATTTTTATATAGTGTGGAAAATAACTATATGGACAAATCTTTCAAAATTCTATTTTTGAATATAGTTTTTTACGATAATAAAATTTTAAAACTGTACGTATAATTAAAAAATTTTAGAATAATTAAAATTTTGTAAAATTTAATAGAAAATAATTAATTTTTTTAAAGTATTTTATTAAAATTTTTGAAAAGCAACTTTTGAAGAATTTTAATTTAATTAAATTTTTTAAAATTCAATTATTTTTAATTACATATTTTCGAAAATTCAAATACACACAATAAATAATAACAATAAAATTTTTTAGAATCGTTTTTATTATTTTGGAGAAAACAATCATGTTAAAAATTTTAAATTCAAATTCTTCAAAAAATTGATATACCTATTTCAATTATACCTATAATAATTATATAATAATTAATTGATTTAATTTAAGAAAATTTGCTTAAATGGTTTTTGGGGTCGCTGAATACGAATCCAAAGTCAGATTTTGAAAATTCAAAATGACGGATCCAATATGGCCGACATTTTTTAAATTCGATCGGATTTGCTTGAAAATTGTTACTCGGGGGTTTTTGGGGTCGCTGATTACGAATTTGAAGTCACTCACTCTCTCCGTCTTACTCTCTCTATCGCTCTTTCACTTTCTCTTACACTCTCTACTTTTTAAAATGTAATAGAAGCTCTGTCCGGATTTACCCCAAATTTTTGAATTCTTGAGGTGAATTCGGACAGCTTGTCATTACTAACTGAATTGACAAAAATCAAAAATCCAAGTCAATTTCTCTTCCGGGAGTCGAACTTAATTTTTAATTTGTAAATTAAGCTCCAAACCCTCTTGTCCGCATTTACCCCCTGCCGCAGGATTTACCCCAACTGACCCTAATTGAAAAATTATCATTTTTTAAAAATTATTAAAAAATATGTTTCAAAGCTTAATTTTAAGAATTTCTTTATTATAATTTCCCGAAAATATTATACCATAACTTTAAAAAAAACATGGACAGTTACACTTACAATTTATTATAAAAAAAATTGAATGTTTGTATTTAAATAATTCAATTTTCGAATAACTTCCGGAAAAATATTAAAAATAGTTGATTTAGGGACGAAGTTTAGTTCAAAATTGTAGAAAAGAATTGAATTTTGGAAGGGTTATAGTTGAAATTTTTAGAAATTAATAAATTTCAGAAGTTGAAATTTTTAAAATTTTATTTCCCGTGAAAAAAGAAATAAGTAGTATTTAAATATTTATTTAACAAAATTATTCAAGTTTTGGAAAATTGAATTTAAAAAACAGTGAAAGGTCAGGGAAATACAATTTAAAATTTTTGTGACAGCATTTAATTAAATAAACGACTTTTTTGACTTTTTATTTTTAATCGACTAAAGATACTTTTTTTACGCCTTAAAGTCGATCCAAGGGCTGTAGTACAAAAGATATTTTAAAATACCGTAAATATTTTTTTATTAAATATCAATTTATTCACCATCGCATAAAATAAAAAATCTTCTTTTATATAGTTATCATTTATCATATTTTCCCAAAAATATTAATTTCTCACCAAAATATGTCCACGTGGACAGTTGAACTTCACGATTGTCCACGGTGGGGGAAGGGGGTTAAAAAGTGATAAAAAAACTAAATAAGATACCTTTTTGGACCACTTATTGAACATTTTTTGGTCATATAACCCAAAGTTATTAACAATTTTAAAAAATTGAATTTTTGAAAAAAGTTACTTCTTATGCTTTTTTGGTATTAAATTGCCATTTAATTTTAAATATTTTCTGTCCATTGTATATATATGCTTCTAAAACCCATCGAATGACCTATTTTTGAACTTCATATGATGACCTAGAATTAAGAAATTATATTGACATTTGAAAAATTAGAAATTTTAAAGTAAGTTACTTTTTGTGATTTGTTTTGATATTGAATAAATGTCAAAAAATGCAATTCATAATATTTACAAAATGAAAATTTTTATGAGGAAGCAAAGAGTTCTTGAAATGATCAAAAAAATATCAACTTTAACTACCCGTGTGGAAATCTGCCCAAGTTAGCCCAGTTAAAAACTGGGAGCCAGCTGGGCCCCACCTGGGCTTCCCATTTTCATAAAAATATTAACATTATAATAGAAAAAGTCTGAAAATTAAATATAACTATTCACAATAAATCATTCTACAATTAATTCATAATAATAATAATCATTATTATTTTAAACAATTTATTATTGTCAATAATTATAAACTTTTATTGTACTACACTAACAGACATTTAGTTTTATTGAAATTTTAAAGTTGTTCCAGCTGAATTTATTTATTTAATAATTAACTCATCAAGGTATAACGGTTTTTAATACATTTTAATAATTGTTTAAACAAATAATTGTTGTTATTTAATAACTTTTGATACACATAACTTAGAAACTTGCAATTTTTTTTCCTAATTTTGCAATTAACTAATAGGAACGACATAAAATAAAGAAAATTTATGGTTTTAACAATTCAGAAATTGTTTAAACAAATGATTGTTGTTATTTATTAACTTTTGATACACATAACTTAGAAACTTGCAATTTTTTTCCTAATTTTGCAATTAAGTAATACGAACAACATAAAATAAAGATAATTTATGGTTTTAACAATTAAGAAATTGTTTAAACAAATTATTGTTGTTATTTATTAACTTTTGATACACATAACTTAGAAACTTGCAGTTTTTTCCTAATTTTGCAATTAACTAATGTAAATAGTAAATCATTCGGATGTTTTATGATTTTAATTTTAACAATTTATCAAATGTTTAAACAAATAATTGTTGTTATTTACTAACTCTTGACACATAGCATCTAGAAGAATGAAGTTTTTTCTTATTTTGCAATTAGTTAATCAGAGTAGTAGTAATTGTAAAATTAGAAAGAAACTGCAAGTTTCTGGATTGTTTGTATTAAAAGTTAATAAACAATAACAATTATTTGTTTAAACAATTTCTGAACTGTTTAAATCATAAAATACTGTTATTTCATACTTTTCAGATTAGTTAAATATAAAATTAAAAAGAAACTGCATTTTTTTAGGTGCTTTGTGTCAAAAATTAGTAAATAACAACAATCATTTGTTTAAACAATTTTTGAATTGTTAAAACCTTAAATTATTTTTATTTCATGTGGTTCGAATTAGTTAATTGCAAAATTAGAAAAAAACTGCATCTTTCTGGAAGCTAGTGTCAGGAGTTACTAATTAACAACAATTATTTATTTAAACAATAACGACTGCAATATAACATTAGTAAAATTTATTATATATAATAACAAAAATCGTTTACAGTGAAAATTATTAAATAGTTTAGTTTTTCTTTAACATTTAATAATAAAACTTTGATGTAATTATGGTCATCTTCGTACATGAATTGACAATTGACAAACATGTTAACATTTTACGGAAGCATTTTAGAGTTTGTCTATTGACCCACTCACGGTGGGTTCCGGTCAGGCGAAATAATATTATAAGTGGGCGTGAGCTGGGCCCTACTTGGGCTTCCCAGTTTTTGAGGACCCACATCAATAATTATATAAGTAAAAATTTCTAAGTCCAAACCTAAAAATTTTTTTTTCAACAAAAAATTAATGTTTATAATGACTTAGATTAAGAAAAAACGTGTTTTTAACAAAAATGTATTCACAATATTTTTTTTATGTAATGTCCACATAATTAATTAGTAAAAATTTCTAAGTCCAAACTAAAAAAAATTTTTTTTTTTAGACCAACAAATTAATGTTTATAATGATTGTAAACAATAAAAAACACATTTTTAATAAAAATGTATTGATATATTTTTTTCATAATAATATAAATATTATTTTAAGAATATTTATCGTTCTTATTACATTAATAATATTGTTATAATTATTATTAAATTATTTATTTGTTACGGTGTATTCGTGTCAGTAAGTGCTTTATTGAATCATTACAGCAGATTAACAAGTCACTGACAATAAAACGTCGGTGTTCAGTAGTTAGTCTCCGTAGTATAGTGGTTAGGGCGTTAGTCTAGTAGTCCGTAGGTCGTAGGTTCAATCCCCGCGTGCGTTAAATTTTATTTGTTTCTTAGGTTTGCGTTTATTCCGATTTTTCTGCATTGTATTCGTATAAGTATGCAATTTAGTGATTATATATACCGTTTAATAATTTAATTAACAAATTTCTAATTTTTTTATAAATTTTTAATTTATGAATGAAAGGATATATATTAATTCCCATATATATGCTAACATTATTTATGAATTTGCTTTTGGTCACAATTTCATTAAAAAAAGTAAAAATCGTTAAATAATAACGTTATTTATTTATAATTCGACTTATTTGTTATTAATAAACAATTTATTCATTAATTTGAATGAAAACTAAATCTATGGGCCCCAGCTGGATTTTTCCTAGGTGGGCTGTGGCTGGATTCACCGTTACAAGCCAAGGAATCGCCCACCTGGGCCATCCCTGCTGGGACCCACCTAGAACCTGGGAAGCCCACCTGGGACCCACCGTGGGCCCACCTCACTTTTCCACACGGGTAATTGCAGCGTTTTTATAATAATATTTTACTAATTTTTAATTACTAATTAAATGTTAATTAACAATTTACATACAAAAATATACATTTAATATTTATAATAGTAGGGAATTCGTAATTTTCAATTAATTGCTTCATGGTTATCGTGAAGATGTAAAGTAAATTGAAACATTTCGTAATTGTTGAACGTAACGGATAATACTCCTTTGTTGAAAATTTTGATCAAAAGCTTTATCAAAAGAGATAATAATATTATACTGATGAGTTTTAATAATTAAAACTTGGTCTGGCCATTGATATACGTGAAATTTTAGGAAGACCACAAAATTAAAATATCAAACTACGGAAACTAAAAATTTAATATTTGTATTTACAACAAATCTGTAATAATTTTACACTTTGATGAAATTTTAACAATTATTTTTCTTTTCTTTTGTTGAAATTTTGTCATAGTCTTGATATACTCTTTTTTATTATTTTTTTATGATTCGTTAATGTATTTTTTTCTCTTTTTTTATTAGTCTAAGAAAACTGAACTTTTCTTTCAACCCTTTTTTACTTAGGATTTTGTTTAAAAAATCAAATGTTATGAATAAAAATATTTCTCTGTCATTTTTTTAAAAATAATTCACGTAATTAAACTTTTATTTTAAACTGAAGAAAAATTTTTTTAACCCTTTTTTATAAAAGTAAGAAAAAGATTTCTAGTGTCAACAGAATATAATGTTAATTAAAAAAAGTGAAGATAAAAAAAAATTCCATATGAATTATTGCTTAATTTTATAAATAATATTGAGTTTTGAAAGATGAAAATTAATATTCGAACTTTATCTCTGAATTTCATTAGAACAATTAAGAATTCAAAACGACTTTTCTTTTTTCTTTCTCTCTCTCTCTCTCTCTTTTCTCTGAGGGATGAGAAAAAATTAAAAACTTGTTGAAACTTTTAGAAGAACGTCTTACTGTTTTCTTTTTCTCATTTTTATTTTCCATGTTTAACTTCAATTTCAAATGGAGGAAAAATAATATTTCAAAAATATAGAATCAGGAGTGTTGCTTTCATCCTCTACTTCATTTTTCTCCTCTTTTAAAAAAAAATGTTTTTTATAACTAGCGTAGTTCTTGAAAGTATGCAGAGAAAATAAAGTAATAAAAAATGTGCAAATCCCAGTGAAACTAATTCCCTTCGTTGCTGTTTCGAAGCTTAAGTAAAAATTCTTTACTCATGGTAAATAGCCTTTTTTTCTTTTTTTTTAACAAACTGACAGTTAAATACATAGAGATCAACTCAAAGCAATTCCTCTGTATTTTCTACTATTATGATAAATTATTTTCTGTTATTTAAAAGTAATCTTTTAAATCAAAATGAATATTTCTCTTTTACTTTCAATTATTATTGTAGTTAATTAACAAGTAATTGGTTATTCATAACTACTGCTTATGGGCGTACGTAATTAATAAAAATATATATAAACATAAATTCAATCAATACTATTAATTAGTAAATCTTACTAATCTAATTTATTGATAAAATTTACGAATTCAAAAGCAAAAAGTCAGTTACTAATTCAAATTAATAAACATTTTTACTAATTCAAATTTAGCGAGAGTAGATTTCATAAATAACGTAATTTTTTTTCTAAGGGAAGGGTTCGGCTACAGTGAAACCTGTTGGAATGAAACTTGATTTTCAAAATTTTATTACAGTAAACAATCCTTAAAAAATTGTTTTAAAATTTAATTTATTGTTTATTTTTTATTGTTTGTCAAATTTTTATAATAGTTTAGAACTGAAGGGAAATAATTATTGTTGGACATTTTTAAATACAAAAAATTTTTAAAATACAGTTGTATTCCGACAAGTTTCACCGTGCATTTTTAACTATATCAAGATATTGATTTAAATCTTCCAAAAAATTATTTTTTAGTCACTTTTTGAGAGAAATTATACAAAATAATGGTTACAAAATAAATTCGGGCAGAAAATATTTTGACCCTTATTGTATTTTTATTTCTTTTAAAAATTGATAGATTTTAAAATCCATCAGTAATTTTGTAAAAAATATATTTTTGTATCCAAAAATTTAAAATTAATAAAATTCCCAAATAAAAAAAATGGTTTTTACTATTTTTGAAGCATTATTTTGAAAAAAACATTGTTTTTAGGTTGAAAATGTAAAGAAAATACAATTTTTATTCAATTTTTTTTATATGGAAATTTATTTGTTTATTTTTCTAACTAATTTCAAATCATACTTTTATCATACTTTTTTTTGTATTTTATATTTTTTATTTTAAAAAATTATGATATGAATTTAGTTAGAAAAATAAACAAATAAATTTACATATTAAAAAAATTGAATAAAAATAGTATTTTTAACATTTTCAACCTAAAAACAATGTTTTAAAAAAAAATGCTTCAAAAGTAGTAAAAACCATTTTTTCATTCGGCAATTTTTTTGTGGATACAAAAACACATTTTTTACAAGATTATGGATGGATATTAAAATCTATCAATTTTTAAGAAAAATAAAAATTCAAAAAGGATCAAAATATATTTTGTGAGCGATTTTATTTTTTGACCATAGAAATCCTCTCAAAAAATTATTATAAAAACAATTTTAGGTAAGATTTAAATTATTATAAATTTTTTATGCAATAATAAATATCTTTAAATATATATATAATGTTACTAATTGCCAAACAAAAAATACGCTGTTTAGATCCTGTTGTAGGTAATCGGAAGTTAAAATTTTCATGCCGTATTTTTATTTTAAAAATTTTAAATTAAGTTGAAATAATTACTGTTTGTATTTACCCTTTATTATGAATTTACCCCAAGTGACCCTGTATAATTTGAATATTAACCTACTTAAATTAATTTATTTCACAATTATTTTAGTTTTAAAAGATAATTTCTTTGTTCAATATGTTAAATTTAATCATTTATTTAACTTTTCTATTTTTGGAATAATTAAAATTTTTGTAATTAGGATTATTTTTAATTTTGAAAGTGAAATTGTCAAATGACAAGTTTTGTGAAATTAAATTTTTCTAGCATTAAAAGTAATAAGTTGAACAGTAATAATAGTAATAATAAAATTTATCGAATTCACTTGAAAGTCTTTTAAAGTGACGAATCTGACGTTAAATTTGGATTTGAAAGTTCCAAAAATCCCTAATAAATAACTATCTATAAACGAATTTGAAAAAATTTCATAAAGATTGGTTGCCATATTGGATTCGTCATTTTGAATTTTGAAAACCTATTGTCAGATTTCTAAATAGTAACCTATTTAAAAAAAACCTCGAAGATTTTTTTTAAATGTTCTAAAGTTTAAAATAACCAATTGAATTCTAATAATTTTTTTAGTTAAAATAGTATTATTATTTTTTTCAGATCAATATTAACCAAAATACTCCCATATATAGAAGTAAAGAAAGCGAGGAATAAAATCATTTAGTGGGCGGCAGGGGAGAGTGGGGCAAAGGCGCTAGGTTTACATTTATCAATGTATATTTTTTAAATTAAACGAACAATTAATTTATGCTGTCTTTGATTTTCATTATTCTAAAACTAATCAACAAAAAATTTTAATAGTTGTTATTTAGTATATTATAATTATAAATACATTATTCAATGAAATTTAAAAGCAATGCAAAAAATGCCTTTGCCCCACACGCTGGGGCAGCGACGTTTTCGCTTATATTTCTAAAAGAAAGCATTTATAAGCCTTAAAAAATTAACAAGTGATATTTATTAGTATAATATTTACGAAACATAAGGTTAACTACATATTATTAAAAGAATTGGACTATTAAAATAAAAAATAAAAACTTTTAGTGATTTTAACCTTATATTGTGAATTAATACATAGAAAATTCGAAAATTCAATTGTTTTTAACCAAATTATGTTCAATATTGCCTTTGCCCCACATAACAAACTTTTTTTTTACTTTAAATTTAAAATATTTAGATAAAAAATTAAACTAAAACACCACGCCAGTTGTGTAGAGAAATAGTTAATTTATTTACATGTTATGTTTTTAAAAATTAAATACTTAAACTTATGTTTTAAAAAATAAAAGTTTGTTCAGTAAAATTATCATTTTATTTTTGCAAAACAATTTTTTTGTTATATTTCTTAAAATATTTGATATTTTTAGATTTTTCTTTTTTTAATCAATTGGTCTGATTGCATTGCAACTTAACTTTTAATACCAATTGGAATAGACAGAAAATAAAGGAGATATTTTAAAAAACGTCTTTGCCCCGCATAGCGCCTTTGCCCCACTCTCCCCTATATATTACCATGCAGCTCATTTCGGGAAGAGGATTTACATCATCATAAAAACTTTGGATTGATTTTTTTTCTCTAACGCGTAATTATATTCAAGAATTTTCCTTTTTTCAAACCTTTAAAAAAAGGCAACTAAAGCATTCAATGTTTCCACATGTCCCATTATCATACAAATGGATTCATCATTCGACGCAATTTAGCAAGAGGAAATTTATTTTTTTACACTTCAAAGCGCACCCGTTGCATTATTTTGAATTAAGTTTTCTCGTGATTATTTCATTCATAATCATACCCGTATACAAATATATATATATAGTAAAGGGGAAGTACAGAACGTCGAGTTTCACTAAAGTGCGAACTATGATTTTATCGAAATCTAAATTATTATGTATATATAGTAAAAAGGTGTTCCATCATCGTGATAAGAGATAATTAAATTTTTTATAGAGTCGATGGAAATCGATCACAAATTTTCAGTTTAACTCAAAACTTTTAACGCAGTTTTCAATTCAAAATTCAGATCGAAGTTTTCCTATTGCAAGGAAAATTCCACTCACGTTCTGGAAATGTTTCATTGGACCATTTTTATTATTATTATCATCATCATTATTATTATTATTATTATTATTGGCACTGATCATTTTCTGTATCGAACAAATTGACTCTAAAAAATATTTTAAATATTAAGGTAAGTGAACT